AGAAACAATAGCGTGCTCTGGGATTGGAAAAAAATTAAAAGCGTAATAGGACAATTTCAGAGGAAAGTTAAGAAAAGTAAATCTTATTCAGGAGACGGAATTGATGACGTTTATGTGAGCAAGAAGTTTGCATTTAAGAGTTTGATGTTTTAAAAAGATAAGAACAAGCCGCGTCTTACTCTTGAAGGTTCGAATTAAGGTAACTTACAAAATTTAATTCAATTATAAGTATGTGGTTGCTTTATTGTTTCTTTATTTAAAATCTGAAATAATTCAAAAGTACTGAAGTAGATCATTTTGTACAGTATTGACAAAGTATAGATATAATGAATTCCGCCATGGTTACCATAGCAAACGAAGTTTTGAAACCAGAAAAAGAGCCAGTAAAGAAAAAGTATTGGATGACCGATAACATACTAGACCTTATTCAGCAAAGAAGAAATTGTAAAAATAAAGATTGGCCTCGATGTAGAGAAATATATCGACAAATAAGATACGAGATTAAGCGAGCAAAAGAGGCCTGGATGGAACAGAGCTGTCGTGAGATAGAATAACTACAAAGAAAACATAAAGAGTTTAATATACCCAAAAAGTTTAAAGAAATTATCTACACTAAGAGAAAAAGAACTCCTCACTTTATGAGAAAGGTAAAATAATTCTCGACTTAAACGAAAAAAGGAAGAATGGACCAACTACATAAAAGAGCTCTTCCTGGATACGAGACCACCACTTAACAACACAAAGTATACGAATACTGGTCCTAGTTTTTTTAAAAGCAGAAGTAGAGAAAGCCATCAAACAAAGCAAAAGTGGCACTGACCAAATACCATCAGACTGGTTCAAACTTTTAGACGACCAGAATGTCTCAGAACTAACAAACATTTATAACCACATAATACGAAACTGGAACACTGACACAAATATGGTTGGAGTCTACATTTATCCCACTTCTAAAAAAACCTAATACATCATCATGTAAAGACTTTAGACTAATTAGTCTAATGAGTCACTCTCACAAGCTACTTAGGATAATTCTTAATAGAATCAATCAGAAATGTGAAGACACAATGGGAAATAAACATTCGGTCTCAGAGAAGGATTGAGAACAAGGGAAGCTTTGTTCTCAATGCTAACACTACTTCAACGATCATGAGAAGTACAGAAACAAATTTACGTCTGTTTTATAGATTTTGAGAAGGCGTTTGATAGGGTTCAACATGGTAGGCTGTTTGAATATCTAGAAATGATTGGACTATATGATAAAGATCTGAGACTTTTACAACATCTATATTGGAATCAAGAGGCTTCTATTCTGGTAGACGGCAAAGAAACAGACAAAATATTTGTATTCAAAGAGGTGTTAGACGGGGTTGTGTGTTGTCCACAGCTTTGTATAAAGTTTACTCAGAAATAATTTTTAACGAAGTCTTGGAAGGGTAATGTGGAGTTCGAATTTGGGGAGAAACTATTAACAACATCAGATATGCAGATGACACCGCGATCATGGCTGAAAGTATCAAAGATATTCAATTCCTTATAGATCGAGTCACTAGACAATGCTCTAATAACGGACTAAGTATAAATACAACAAAGACAAAGTTACTTATGGTTAGTAAACAAGACCTCGGCGCTATATAACTAATTGACAATAATGAACCGATAACAAAAGTTAACCATTTCAAGTAGCTAAGATGTTGGATAAACGAGGCACTAATCCGGATGAAGAAATTAAAACTGGTATAGAAATTGCAAGAGGAGCATTTATGGAACTTAAATCTATTTTGAGCAATTCTCAGCTGAACTTACAGCTGAGAATTAAGTTCCTAAAATGTTATGTATATCCTGCATTACTGTATGGATCTGAAACCTGGATTATGAAGGTTAATATGATGAATAAATTAGAGGCCTTCGAGATGTGGTTATATCGTAGAATGCTCAGAATATTATGGGTTCAACACATTTCAAACAGATAAGTCTTGAACAGAGTAGGCCAAGGTGAAGGTGACTTAATAAAGATGATAATAAAAGAGAAAACTCGAATATTTGGGGCATATAATGAAAGAAAGCAGATACAGGATAATGCAGTTGATACACAACGGAAAGATCGACGGAAAAAGAGGAATTGGTAGGAAGAAATACTCATGGCTCCGAAACCTTCGTCAATGGACTGGCTTATCAGCAGATGAATTATTATATGCCGCGAAAGATCGAGAACGATATAGACAAATCGTCATGGAAGCTACCCACGCCTAAAACTTGGGCACGTTGAAACAAAGAAGAAGAAGAAGATGTTGAAATAGACTGGGATATAAAAATATTACGGCTTGCAATTCCAATGAGGACGTTCAATATGCAACACAAAATCTATCAACATGTTATTAAAAACATGTTGCTAACAAGTTACGGTAACATGTTACTAAGTGAGGACGAGCCTTTAAATGACAATATATAGAAACATTAAACCTGTTCTAAAGCTATCATAATGCAATTACTATTTTTATTGGGACTAAACCACAATTTAAGTTTAAAATAAGATTATTTTTGATGTTTCAATTTTCACTTCGAAATACAAACATTAATTTTAAACTTAAATTGTGGCTTCAATAAAAATAGTAATAAATAAATAAATAATTTTTTTATTATTTACCCACTCCACATCTAATATTTGTAATAAAAACGTCATGTTAAAATTTTGTACTTTTTTTATACTAATGCTACTAATTCTCACTCGCACGTCTCTGTACGTCTTATATAACGAAGGTAATTAATGTGATAATACTCAAACGAGACATGTATTATGATTATATACCACCATTTGATCATATAACTTCTCTACCCACCAAACATATCCATTTTTATACGGGTTTTAAAGTGTGGGTTGTATTTAATTTTGCATACATTTTAACAATTTCACTCTAATTTAAACGAACGAAAATGAAATTACATTTAGTCCTGTAATTGGTGACACGTGCGGAAAATGGAAAAGATTTTCAACACAAGTATTTAAATTTTTACTATAACATGTAGTTAGGGGTGCATATAATGGAATTTTTATTGGGTGAATATCAAAGTAAATTAATATCTGGTCGATCAACAATATACCAGACATTCGTGTTGTTGTCACATATCATTGAAAAAACCAGGGATTTGTATATCGACACTGTTTACCTGTTTTTAGATTTCCTAGCAGCGTATGATAGCGTAATACGGTGTATGATAGCATAATAGAATAGGAAACATGTTATATGAAGCAAAGCAAGAAGTTTCTTTATCCCTTTTCTCTATTCGGATTGCCGAATATAGGCCTCTCCTAATTCTCGCCATTCATATCTCCACATTGGTCCTGCAGTTCTTTTAATATCGTCTCTCCAGCGCATTTGCGATCTTCCTCGTGGTCTTTTGGCTTCATATGGCCGCCAATATCCGATTTCTTTATTCCATTGGTCATCCTTGACTCAGATATGCATATTCATCTACGTGTTCTATCTCTATCCCTTGGATGTTTATCATAGGTTTGTCATCTTTGTTTGACATTAGTTTAGTTTTGATAAAATTCATTTTCAGTCCTTTTTTTTAGGGATTCTGTGTGTAGCTTTTCAATAATCGTATTCAGTGCATTCCACGTGTCGGCTATTAGTACTAGATCATCTGTGTATCTAAGATAGTTCAAGTATCTGCCGTTAATAGGGATTCCCTTATTTTCCCAGTCTATTGACTTACAAGATATCTTCTAGGGCAGATGTAAATAATTTTGGAGATATTGTGTCTCCTTGTCTTACGCCTCGGTTAATTTTTACTGTTCTTATTTCGATTGCATTACCCAACGTCACTATCATTTCAGCTTGTTCGTTTATATATTAATATACTGTACCTGGAGTAGATCCGGTTGTTGACTAATGCTTCTTCTATAGCCCACAGTTCTACATATCAAAAGCTTTTTCATAATCTATAAAAGCCAGATTTAATGGGAATTGTATTCGTTAGTTTTTTCTTTTAGGATTTTCAAAGTATATAATAGATGGTCAAAGGTGCAGCACCCTTTTCTAAATCCGGCTTGGTCTACTGGTTGATATTCGTCAAATTTTATTGTTAACCTGTTTGTAATAATGTTTGTAAAGGTTTTGTAAAGTTGTGAAAGAAGTGAAATTGGTCGATAATTTTTCAGGTCTGTGGTGTCTCTATTTTTGTGTATTAGTATTGTTTTAGCAGCATTCGATTATTCGGGTATGTTGCCTTTAAATAGACATTTATTAAATAATATTTTTAGATATTTAATGGCTTCTTCTCCGCCTTTCTTCAGCATTTCTGCTAGGAATACATCGCTTCCAGGAGCTACATTCTCATCAAGACGAATCGGATAAGATGAACAGGAGTTTTCCTAAGATCGAATGATGCAAACCTACTAAATACAATCTTGTGGAAAGACCCGATGGCAGAAAATCAGTCGGTCAGTCAAGAAAAACATGGAGTGGAAGAACGAGTGATCTACGTAAGATAGGGGTACAACAGTGAGAGATTGCTGCACAACACCGGCAAGAGTGGAGGAAAATATTAAATGAGGCCAAGATTAAGTGAGTCTTAGTTACTTAGTGTTTGGACAAAGTTGTAGACCCAAGAAGGAAGAATAAAAAGAACATCTGACCAGAATAAATAAAAGCTACCGTGCAAGACGTACTCTGTTGGAAAAAGTCGAGGAATGAAGGGGTGGTTTGTTATAAGGATGGAAGGAAAATTGGTGAGGCAAACTGGCATCAAGCTGTAAAGAATAGATCAGAATCCATTCTGATCCAAGCAAATAAGCTTAGGAATGTAGAGGGCCAATTAGAATCGTAGTGCTAATTATGATTACTTAAAACAAAGTATTACATTTAAAACCAAGCAAGTACTATTAATAAAATAATTAAAATAACCCATACTAACTAATAATAATAACGAGTTTATTAGTAAATATAATAAAATATAACTTAAAATGTATTGTTCTATATTATATTAGTACTTACATTCTATGTTTTCCAATATTCCACCAAAAGGATTGGAGAAGCCGTCAAGGCCGCCAAATCCTACATCTGTGGTAATAACAGGTTGTTCCACGTGGGTTTCTTTATGCGGAATAAGTTCTACATCGTCATCTATTTGTTTTGAAGTTGCTGAAAATAAAAAAGAAAATATGAAACATTGTGAAAAAACTGTGAAAAGAAGAAAATGATAAATATTAGATATGTTCATATGTGATCAAGCTTTTTTATGTCAAAGGATCAATAAGTATATGTTCATCTATTTTTCGCAAAATGTGAATATTATCTTGATCTTCTGCGAGTACTACTTATCACAAAATGCATTTACAGTTTATGATCTCCAATTTTAATACCCATGGGTTCATATTTTTTTTTCAAATATCCAAAACCCCTCCAAATAAATCTTAAACAGCGTAGGTATAATAAGGCAGCCTTGACAAAGTTCTTTGGTCACCTTAATGTTTTTTTTCACTTTTTGTCCAATCTTTATTGAACTCGTCATATCGTCATACGACTCTCTTACAACATTATTGTAAATCGGTGTAATTTTTATGTCTTTTAACACCTGTCACAGCTTGGCTAATGGGACACTATCATAAGCCTTTTTAAGATCAATAAATATCGTGTGTGTCTCCATATTGAGTTCCAAGCGCTTTTTTATTGTTTGTTTCTTGTCTATACAAGAACCACCAGTAGGAAAGCCACTCCGATGTTCAGCGTCTTCCAAACTATCTTCAGTTCGGCTTTTAATTATCTTCCCATACATTCTACAGATTGATCTGACTATTAAGCCCTCGGTAGTTCTTATATTCCTTTCTGTCGCCTTTATTCTTATATAGATTGCTAATATATATATCTAGATTGCCATTCTGGGGTAGCTCTTCACCTTTCAAGAATAAATTAAAGGTATAAGCCAAAGCTAAAATAGTTTGTCAGGGCCGTATTAAATCAACTCTATGGGTACTCTCCTCGGTTCTGGAGCCGTCTCATTTTTCATAACGAGTGTTTCTAATGTCTTCTGGTGTTATTTCAGTTTCTTTGTGATAGGAAATATCATATTTTTCGTGCCCAATATCTTGAAAATCTGCTCGATCTTCTGTCAGCATTTGTTTATAATATTCGACCCATAATTCCAGGGATATTAGAGTTAACCTATTGCGTTCTTTTCTATCTGTTCTACTACCTCTAATTGTTTTCTAGGCATCTTTACTTATTGCAGTACCCATAAAATTTTCTACATCACAGGCTACATCTCATTTTTGGCTTTATTTATCTCTTTTTTACTTCTCTGGTTAAATTCTTGTACTGTTGCCCAGTAAAGGTTCTTTGTTACTATCCATTTATTATACATATCCTTCTTCTTCTTCCCCATAAGACCTTGTCTTTCTTTATTACACCATTGACAAAATTTACAAAATATAAGTCTATTATAGGAAAAAAAATAATAAAAAAACAAAAAAGGTATTATTTATAGAAGTATTAGAAGCACAAGATAAATGACAAAAATAAATGACTGGAATGTGAATGAAGCATAAGGGTTTACTAAAGGCACATTTTTAATATTACCCTACGGACGTTACACCCATAAAGAAATATCAGTATTATAGTTCCCATCGGCAAAAGAGTTATTTGATCTCTCTTTACCCTCTCCAAACTTTGGGTATCGCTTGATTAAGCAGAGTCTAACACGATTTTCCTCTGCGACTTTTTTTGGTTCAAGGTCGTTTTTCCTTTTATTTTCTCGAACATTTTCACCCGTCAGACAGGAAGATCGGAAGACAATTTCCGTCATACAATATGAAAAGTTTTTTTTGTTACTGGTACTGAAATTAGACTGAAAAAATTAGCTGGTTATCTATAACTATGTTCGGGTCGTCAGACGTTTTGAATGAACTATATGTATCAGGCAATTCTATTTTTACATTTTTCTTATAATTTTTAAGCTAACGGAACTTGTTTTCCGATTTTTCTGTGTGACGGGTGAAAATTTTCGGGAAAATTAAAGAAAAACCGCCCAAGAACCAAAAAAAGTCGCAGAGGCAAACCGTGCCAGACTCGTCCTAATGAAGCGATACCCAAGTGTGGTGAGAGTATCAAACTTTTTTGCCGACGTGCACTCTAACTGTAACATACGGCAAATTTAAACCAGCAGTATACTTGTCAATCAAATGTAACTATGATTTTGTTACAACTACTATTAAAAACGTTGCTTCCGATTACTGAAGCCATCCACAAATTACAAAAAAAAATTCATATTCTTTGGACGTTCAACACTCTTTTATGCATGTCCATATATACTTTAAAACAATAATCAAACAATATTATCTAACATAATTACCGTCCTCATGCTTTACATTTCCATAAGTACATATATTATGGCGACGCAATAAAAAGCAAGGTAAACAGCTATTGCACATCAATATTATTAATTTTTTTTTATTTCGACGTCGGTTTTCTATGGAGTGAATCATTTATGAAGCATGTTCATAGTTACAAATTCCAGTGTACTTTTTACTACTTTTGTACCTTGGTACAGATAGTTACGACTAAATGTTTAACCGTTCTAAAATCTCATCAAAATTTTGGGAATTCCTACGACATTAATAATCAATACTAAGTTATTACATTTTAATGTCATATTTAATTTTTCTAAAAATATGAGTAATGTGTTTAAATTTTTGGAAAGTTTCTATAATTGGATGAACCATGACTTCTATTGAACTTAAAAAAAATATGGAAAATAAATAATTAAGAAAATCTTGCAATTGATTTTAAGATTGATTAAGAAGAATGACACATGATTAAGAAGATTGATTGAACACAATAAAAATAAGAAAACACTAGTTTAAATGCATTTCTATAGAGCTCTATAGAAAAAGAAGAAGAAGAAGAATGAAGTTGCTATAAGAAAATTTATAATTTCTGGTACGAAATTAAGCGCCAAATTTTCATCTTACTCAAGAGATGTATTATTAGAAAGAACAGAAAGAGCCATCGCAATTTGGATTGAGGAACTAATTCAAAGAAGAATTCCTGTAAGTGGTTTTTAATCCAGGTAAAAACTCTTCAGTTTTATGAGTTAATGAAACAGTCAGAGCCAACAACTTCCACTTCCCAAGCTGGTAAAAAATTTTCAGCTAGCAAAGGGCAAGCTAATCGGGTTTAGCATAGATTAGCATAGAAAACGATATGCATTTTATAATATTAAGATCACAGGAGAAAGTGCTACAGTAGATAAAGCAGCAGTAAAAATATTTCCACAGGAGTTAGCGAAAATGATTGAAGATTTGGACTATTGTACCGATCAAGTATTTAACGCTGATGAAACAGGACTGTATTGGAAAAAAATGGCTTACCGTACGTACTTCGTAAAGGATGAAAAAACTTAAAAAAGTGGACATAAAGCAAGTAAAGATCTAGTAACATTATTACATACTTTGTAGCAATACATTAGGAGATAGGTTGTTGAAACCGCTCTTAATAAATAAATCTCTTAGACCACGTGCTTTAAAAGGCAAAGATTAACTTTACAAGTAAAACAAGAAACATTATGATTTAAACTGGAAGAGTATTGAAGAATTAAACTATTTTAAACACGTTTCAGAACGAGACAACTTCATCCACCTGCAGACGAAGTTCATAAATAATTAGGTTACTTTTAACAACAATACTAGTAAAATAAACAGGTTCCCCTGTTTTCCTATTTATCGACACGATATGGATAAATATTGAATAAGTAGTCCAACAATTCCATAGTACTAAAGAAATATCTTATAGAAATATCTTAAACTGAATTCTTTCAGTGAATCTACCACCGACCAACTCTTCGTACAAAATTTTAATTTTTGTCCATGTTGCAAATAATCTGAAGTGAAGTTTATGAGCAGTGCTTTGATTGTACTTTAGAGCTGGCTGAAAGTTTTATTGATTGTGCATTGTGTATTTGTGGTGACTTGATTGAGACATCTCAGTAATTGTGCAACAGTTGAGTGCCACCGTGTTTCTTTGCAAATATTATTTGTACTAACTATAATCTTTTTAATATGTTGAAGGTTAGTTTTGACCAACATATTTCATATTGTAACATTAAAAGACCACATAATGAAATATATGTTTTTCTTGTATATGATAATTAATAATGGTATTAAATTGCCCTTCATTATTGGGTAATATTAACTTTAACACTTTATGTCGAACTCGGCATACTGGCACATAATCTTATTCTCATTTTATGTAACTAAATGGTTGACAATGTGGAAATAGTTTTCCGTTGTCAAAACTAGCTCTATGTTTAGTTATCCGTTATTTGAAACTTACTCCTGTCTGACCTATATAAACTTTTCGTAATGTACCACAAGTGATCTAAAACACTTCTGGACTTTGGCTTCTATCCTCTCTGTCTCGTATTATTCTTTACGTATTTGGCTAATATTTGTTGATTTTCATTATATAGAGCTAGTTTGGTCAAAGTGAATTCCAACTCCACATTATACAAAACATTTAATTACAGAAAATTATGATTTTTTATGTAGTCTTTCTTCTAATTGTCTTTCTATTGAAGAACCGTCTCTTACCGTCTTTACTACTCCATTTTTTATTATTCAGCTTATATGATCGTTTCATTCTACTTTTGTATTTCTTATCCAATTCTTAATGTTCTCTACCTTGAATTGTTGTCGCGTATTGTTGTCGAATTATTGTTCTGACTGTTTGGTAAATGCTGCCTTTCATTTCTTTCCCGATATTTTTGTTTCTACATATTGTTTCATTCAGGCAACCTGAGGCTCTGTTTGCTCTATTCAGTTGATCTTCTACTTCTGTTTCGTGTCTATCGTAGCTAGATAATGTGATGTCTAAATATTTAAACTCCATCACTTGTTCTATTATCTGATCTTCCAGCTCCAATTTACATTTCTTCTGTCGGTTTTATTAAATTGGTGTAGCACAAATTTTAAGTTGTTTTTTTCTCATTTAGTATCCTTTTTTAGTTTTTATTTTTTTATTTTTTTTTTCATCCACAATCAGGATGAACAATAGAGGACTCAGGGAATCTCCCTGTCTCATTCCATTGCTAGCTTTAATAGGGTCAGTCAGTTCTTCTTCTACATTTACTTTTATTGTGCTGTTTTGGT